GTGTGTGTGTGTGTAACCCTTGGAATCAAAGGGAACCTTAAGGTTTGGAACAGGGGGCTGGAGTGTGCTTGAGATGTTTCCAGCCAACGAAGACGCATCTGTCGCACAGTGACATAGTTCTGGGACGCCAGAACTACGTACCTGTTCCACTATTTAGGAAAACAGGAGGAAATGGTACTCGACACACTTGTGTGTCGGTGCCTTTCCTTCTGTTTCCTCTAAGGCTACTCTACAGGTTTACAGGTAGGCCTCCAAACTTTGTAAGGGGTTCTTTAACTAGAACTTTGGCCTCTACCCACTAGATTGACCCCCAACTCGCTGTTTTGCTGTCTTGTGCTTCTTGTACTTTTGTGCTTCTTGTAACCTTGTAGCACTGGCCTCCAACTTGGTACCCTGGCCTCTACCCACTAGCAAGGACCTCCAACTTTGGCTGTCTTGTGGTTTTTCTTGTGCTTTGTAACCTGGTAGCGCTCCCCCAACTTGGTACCCTGGCCTCCAACCTACTAGCGATGACCTCCAACTTTGCTTTCGCTGTCACTGTGTGTCTATGGTCCACCGCCTACTAGCGATGGCCTCCAACCTTAGGCCTTGGCCCCAACAGCCTCGCGTTGACCTCCAACCAAAACCGTTGGCCTTTAACCGACTATTTGCTGTCACTTTGCGTCTATGGTCCACCGCCTACTAGCGATGGCCTCCAACCTTAGGTCTTGGCCCCAACAGCCTCGCGTTGACCTCCAACCCAAACCGTTGGCCTTTAACCTACTATTTCCTGGTATCTCAGGCCTTATAACGAACCTAGGCCGGCGTGTGGCCCCGCTGTCAAGTCAGTACGCGTATCCATAAGTGTGTGTCGACCCCCATATCCAGGGGCATTACATTTGTCAGACTTCTTTTTACATTGTACAGTATACGCGCAGGGGGACCACCCCATGGATGCAGTCGGTTGTCCAACGAAGAGGGCTGCATTCCGTGGCTGATATGATCCTGGGACGCTAGGATCACGTACCTGCCAATTTTCCTTTCAGCATTTGTGATTCTAAGTGTCGCTCAATGCTGTCTCATTCGGTGTTTTGCAGTGAAGTGCTAATGCTTTCAGCTAACGCAGTAGCTTTTGTGACTCTAAGTGTTGCTCAACGCTGGCTCATTCGGTGTGTTGCAGTAAAGGGCTATTTTTCAGCTAATGCAGTAACGTAAAGGGCTAATGTTCACCATGCGTCTCTGAAGCACAGCTCCGCGGAGCACTCATCTTAAGAGCTGTGTGAACCCCACGAGGGCGCCGTTATTGAGTCTCCTATTCCTTTATTGGAGAGAATGCACTTTACAGCCCATTGAGGACCTCAAACAACCGATGCAGACATCTTTTGCTCGAATGCGAAAAGTCGTTTCACCTTCGCATCTATGATTTTTGTTGCAGAGCTCACTGATCCTTGACATCTGAACTCGTCTCACACCAGGAAACTTTGACGTGTTAACTTTTCAACCTTTCTATTTTTCAATCCGAATTCATTGTTTTCCGGGTTACCAGCACTAGCGACAACACCACTACTGGCAGCAATACCCACCTCCGCCTCCACCACATTCACCACCACCTTTCTCCCACTGGCAACCAATGCCACATCCACCACCATAACCATTACCAATGCTTATACCATGTACTACACCCATTACAGTTACAAAGCCTCTGGTCACCCCACCACCTTCATTCACCGCCAACCCATTCTCCTTCCTTTCCACCGGGGCACACTTCAACGTCCGCAACACTTACACATCCCACATCAACCGGATCCAACCTAACCAGCAACATCACCCGCCACCATTTCACGACTCACAAGTCCCCCACAACCACATCACCCTACTACAGGCTCCTCACCGCCCACTACCCCAGCCAGTTACACTTCTCCACACGAACCACCCACAGCAACGACACCTCATCCTTCCACATCTCCTCAACCACCCCTACAACCACCGCCTACTACAGCACCACAACCCATTGCACCGCAGCCTCACACAACTACGACTCCAACTTTTGACAACAATCCTCCCCAAGCACCCTCACGACTCGACCAAGTCCCTTCACGGCCAAGCAGCAAGACTCCCATCATGACGTGCCATCACATGACTTGCATCGTTTGCATGACTTGAGTTGCTTCTTGTGCCTGGCATGACTAGAGTTGAGCTATTTCTTGAGATTGGGTGATCTTCCTTGGACCTCGTCAGACCGATGCGAAAGTTCACACACCAGCTGTTCAATCACGGTGATGCCCTTCCAGCTTTTCCGGCCGGTTCTCAAGTTTGCGGAATGTAGACTGGTTGAGAATCTGAACCAGTCTACATTCCGCAAACACTGTCGTCTCCCACTGCCAAAAACCCTCTTGGGCGCCAAACACGAGGGCTTGGTGCCTCACACCCCCGGGCCGCGAGATGGCAGCTGCGCAATGTACACATTTTGTTTCCATTCGACATAACCAGAGCTCACCTTCGGCCACCTGTCCACTTTCTCAGCCAACGTAAACCATCCAGTAAGAGACCTGCGAACAGCTGAGATGAGCATGATTGTTGCATGATTTGGGATTCAGCAAGAGCAGTTGTTGCATGCTTATCCATGTGGTCTTGACACTGCGGTCCTAGTATCAAGCCACACCTAAATATATTTGTGCGCCGCATTCGGCACCTTTGCTCAGAAGTCACTACACCTATTTTTCTCTTTTCCCTCTTTCCTTTTTTCTTTTCTACAGGCTTGTTAGGTTGCTATTCAGGACACACACCCAATTTGCCATTCGTTGGCAGTTTTGCTCGCCAAGTCATTACCTCTAATTTGCCAATCGGTTAACACTTTTTGCTCGACAGATGTGCACGATACTACACCTATCTTTCTCTTCTTCCCTCTTCTTTTGCTTTTTCTCCTTTTCTTTCTTTTTCTTAAGGCTTGTTGGGTTGCTAGTGAGATCTTTGATGCATTCCCTAATTTGCCATACAGTTGGCACCTTTCGCTCGGCAAGTCGCTACCTCTTTGCTAGCGAGGTATTCGATGCACTCCCTAATTTGCCATTCAGTTGGCACCTTTTGCTCGGCAGGTCACTACCTCCAATTTGCCATTCAGTTGGGGCGTCTTGATCGACAGATGTGCGTGTCACTGCACCTATCTTCCTCTCTTGCCCTTTTCTGTTGCTCTTTCTTTCTCTTTTTTAATTCTTTTTCTATAGACTTGATGGGTATCGACGCACTTATAATTTGCCATTCGGATGGCGCCTTTTGCTCGGCAGATGTTACAGTATCTACAATACTTACAGCGTCCCTTGGCGTGTTGTACGGGCGCGCCCTATACTCCGGTGCCGCTGGAGTCCTCGGTTAACGCCAGGAGGAAGGCAGTCCGGAGTAGGGATTTGCGTAGCCGGCCCACCGCCAGGGGGGCACGAGCCATAACAGCCAGACACATCTGTGGCTGTTCACAGTTCAAGTTCTCAAACAAGTTCTCAAACAAGCCAGCCAACGCAACGACCAACCTCACACCTATTCGGCTTGCAGTTGAGAGAGAGGGAGAAAAAACAAAAAACAACAAACAAACCAAAAAGCTATGGCATGATACATGAGTCAATTTCCACAAGCGCAGAAAACACCGAGCAAGCAACCAAGCCAGCCAAGCACGTTTGCAAGCAAGCAGGCAAACAAGCAAGCGAGCAAGAAAGCAATTTATATCGCATAAAGAAGCCGTGCAACAATACAGTCGTACGTACGTCTTCACGTGGTTTTTGCCTTGCCACAACTTTGACAGGTCACTTGTCAACCCCCGACCTACATCCAGCACACCTACAGGCTCCAGAACATTATCATGAACAGGCTCCTGCGCTCACCCCAGCCCTCAATCGCAGTCCCACACCATCACTGAAGACACGAGCGATGAACCCTTTCATCTCGCATCCAGCAAACCTACACCACATCCCACTCAACAGCCACCCAACCCCCCCCAGCAGTCCCCAGCACATACCCTGGCTTCTTCAACAGTATTCCACAACAACGACTGACCGATGCAGTGATCAGTTCATGCACCAAGTGGCAGCTACAACATCCCACGACCACACTGACCACCGACATACACACCACAGGCAAGCCTCTACAACAATCGTGACTGTGAGGTAAGTTGGAAGCCTATACAACATCTCACCTCCACAACCCATATTCCTCCATAGCCACACACACACACGCACGAAAAAAAGAGTTTGCAAAACCGGTTGCGCAATGACGCTTATGAGATCTTACATGTTGCAGTACTTCTCGTGAACTCTTACATGATTTGACGTCGCTTGACCGTTGATCCGTCAAGTCTCTCTCTCTCTCTCTCTAGATGCGCCGACTCACGGCTTACTGTGTGTGTCAATCCCCGTATCCAAGGGCACTACATTTGTCAGACTTCTTTTTGCATTGTGCAGTATACGCGCAGGGGGGCAACTTCATGGATGCAGGCGGTTGTCCAACGAAGAGGGCTGCATTCCATGGCTGATATGATCCTGCGACGCTAGGATCACGTACCTGCCAATTTTCCTTTCAGCATTTGTGATTCTAAGTGTCGCTCAATGCTGTCTCATTCGGTGTTTTGCAGTGAAGTGCTAATGCTTTCAGCTAACGCAGTAGCTTTTGTGACTCTAAGTGTTGCTCAACGCTGGCTCATTCGGTGTGTTGCAGTAAAGGGCTATTTTTCAGCTAATGCAGTAACGTAAAGGGCTAATGTTCACCATGCGTCTCTGAAGCACAGCTCCGCGGAGCACTCATCTTAAGTAAGTTTGTGTGTGTGTGCTTGTGAGGGCGCATTGTCATTCATGCGCGCTTTTTGTTTGCAACATCCCCTCCGAGACAATCGTTGGAGTTTGCGTTGGTAAAGTTGGTAAAGCTTGGTTGTCATGTGAGGCGCGCAAAGCTGCTCTGGGTGCTGAACATCCTGAGACTCTAATTGCGTCAAACGTGGGCTTGGCCTGAGTTAATTGCCGTCAGCCATAACACTTTTTGAAGCCTTGGGGCGGGCCGAAGCTCAGCCAGGACTTGGCGGCTTTGATTGTTGCACAGGCCAATGGGGATTCAAACTGAACATTTCCGAAGGAGAACTTATCGTAGTTTGACAACACAAACTACGAAGTCGCGAATTGAACGGAAGGTTGTCATAGTGCTCTCAAAATGTATGTTGACTGTGAACCGAGTTGGCTAGCTTTGCACTCAGGGCCGATTTGCTGACGCAGAGCCTTTGTACAGACAGACCTTGCAGTGTTTGCATGCACGGCTAGGCTCCTGAGCTGAGTTGGTTCGCTTGAGTTTTGTGCATTAACGACATTCAATTCAAGAGGTGTTTTGCGTGATGTCGCTCTCCCAGGTCCCGAGGACCCTGACACACTGCGAACGGCTTGCAACCTGGCCTCTTGGATTGAAGAAAAGTCTTTTCACGCTGCGCTTCGATGCCGTGCGTGACGCCCTGGGGTACATAGTTTTGGGTGGATGCAGCTAACAGCGAGCACTCCTTCTTCTTTGCTTCCTTGCTGAGGCTGCTTTGCTGGCTGCCCTTGGGCAAACCTGTGAGGCAGAGTGCCCCGGCTCGGATTGTTTGGGATGCATTTTCCACACTGAAGGGTCGACGTTGGGCAGAACATGGCAGAACCATTGGCGTCGGAAACGCTTCTTGTCCTGATTCTGGCTGAGGAAGCTGTACCGTACAAGCGCGAAGGGTTTGGAAGCACAACTGGGACCTAAGAACTTGGACACGCTGCTCCATGGCGGATTTGAGGACGGTTCATCACCAGCATGTCCTGTCGCCAAGTTTCCTGCTGTCCAACGTTTCCGGCTGAGGTATTGCCAAAGCAAACTTGCTCAAGTTTTAAAGACAAGAGGTTATGCACAGGAAGCTGAGCAACTTCTGCGAAAAGTCGTGCGAGGCCCTGTACGACTAGAGCTAAGGCTCTCAAAGTTTTAAGTTGCAACTAGTTGCAACAAACAAGCATGATCAAACGAATAGTTTGTGGTTGCTTCTTTGACACAGGCCTGACGGTTTTGTTTGACAAATTCCCTTCAGGCATGAAAGAAAAACTCGGAGCACAGCACCCAGACACGCTCTGTAACTGTGCTGCGCTGGCCTCTGTAATGGAAGTCCTTGGTCGTGCGCAGGCTGGTTCGGGCAAAAGCTTTCATAAGAGTTTTTGTGGAGTTTGCTCATTTCGACAGGGTCATTTCATCACCGTGCATGTTGCATGTATATAAGAAGTGCGACACAGAATTGTTGCACTTCAGGAGGCTGAGCCGGTACAAAACAAAGCCCTGGAAGGTTTCAAGGCCGGGATCATGCGAGTCCGAGTAGGAGAAGGGTGGAAGGCCCAGGGTTTGTTGCATCCTGCATGTGAGGCACGCTTGGGAGAAAGCCATCCGGACACGGCGTGCTGGCTGCATCACCTCCTAAGTGAGAGGGCAAGCCTATCGATCGAACGTTGAATTACGGTTCTAGACGCACTTGTACCAAGGGTCGTACTTGGAACTCATGTGGACGAGTGCAATTTAGGGAGAGTGGAAAGCGATGGAGAGGGAGAGAGGGAGAGAGGGAGAGAGAGAGAGAGAGAGATTGCGTAATGGAATGCAACTCAGCGAAGCCCAGATCGAGAGTGCCATGGGTCTTGCATCCATCTACAGTGCTCGTGGGAAGCATGAAATGGCCGAGCCCTTGCTTCAGCAAGTGCTGGAGTGGCGAGATGCTCGGCAAGATCGAAGTTCAATTCATTTGTGAGTTCACTGCATACGGGGAGAGCTTTGGGCTTTACTTGCTGTATACGGTATACGGTACATACTATACTTATCTATTCTTTTGGCTAAATATCTATTCTCTCGGTAGTTCCTGGATCACAAAGTTTCTAAATGATGATTTGCTTGTGGTGCTCATGGACACACACACACACACACCACACCCGCACGCACACACACACACACACCCCAACAGGGTTCAAGAGATGTGGCTCCCAAGGAGAGGAAGCTGGGCCATTTGCACCCAGATACGCGACTCAGACAAAGATTGGCTTGGCTGGTGGAGAATGAACATGACTTGAAGATGAAATGGAAAGAGGGAAAGCAAGAAGCTACTGGTAGCAAGGACGCTATTAGGTGGAGGCATCGCAAGTAGGTTAGAGGCCATCGCTACTAGGGTGGAGGCCACGCTATTGGCAACATGGGAGCTAAGGCTTACAACGCTAGAGCGCTCCGCTGAAACTGCAATGGTGCTGGGCCGCCTGAAACAGGTGACACGGGTGCTTGCAAAACCCAAGCCTCATGAGTCTCACTGGCCTCACGGGTTGGGTTTTCTTTGGTCGTTTGATCAGTCAGATGCAGATTTCAAGGTATAGGACGAGTTCTTGGGATTAGTTTGTGCATGTCCGTTGTCTCCAGTGAAGCTAAGCCCATGGTGCGCGAGATGCAGGCGGAACAGTACCATTTGAAGATCATCCAGCTACGTCAATCGTCACTCGGGTACGATCACCTAGAAACGCTTCAAGCAGTGCCTTGGCCAAAAATCTCTCTCACGAAGAGACTATGGCGTCCAACCCAATAGCGATGGCCTCCACCTATGAGCGATGGCCTCCAACCTACTAGCGATACAAACATTATAATATGTTACATAATGTTGCAAACACAATGGGCCCAGCGTGACTCCATGACCTGCAATTTCCCACGTAATCTTAGTATTTGTTCGGAGCGCGTTGAACTGATGCTTGCGACAACGCTAGGCATATGGACAGACCTTTGCTGGAAACATGTTTGTTGGAATGGGACGGGTGGTAGATCTAAAGGGTTAAAGGGTTTGTTGGAGCTAGCAACGCTGAGCTTGAAACTGAGATGTCCAATCTCGCCTACATGTACAAAATGCTTGGGCAGTTGGACAAGGCGGGCAGAACATGGCCTGATCACCTTGAACTGTCATATTATGGTGTTAACAGATCTAGAAAGCACAAGCGGGGGACATGACGTATCGTGTTTTACAGGCCGAGCCTTTGTACAGACGTGTGCTTGCAAGCCACGAGAACCATCTTGGACCCTCGCACAATGCTGCCTGGCAGTTTTGGTGAACAACCTTCTGTCTTCATATGAGCTTTCCTTGATTAATTATTGGGCATTTGCACATATTGTGCATTGTAATCATATTGTTGTTGAGGTAACCGCTGCCAGTATGGCAAACCTGGCTGAGCTTTTGAAGGAGAAGGGGAGGCTGGTGATTTGCAAAGGTTAGTGCGAGACATCAAGGAGCGTTTCAGTGCGTGAAAGCTTGGCTCATTTGGCTTGCAGATTGCAGGCTTGAGGAGTCTGAAGTGCTGTATCGCCGAGCGCTGGAAAGTCGTGAAGCAAAACATGGCCGAAACTTTGGGCAAGAAATCAACAGCAACACCCACACAGAACAGATAACCACACAGTCACACAGTCCTCAACTCAAGCATTGTTTTGCCATATTCTTGTTGAACAATACATCCTACGCCGCCTTTGGGGGTTGTCCCGGCCCGTGACCCGGCATCCAAGGACTGCATCATGACACGTTGCAGACTGTCAATGACTTGGCTAGCTTGCTCCGTCTCAAGGGCGCCTATGATGAGGTGAGCACCAATGGTGCACTATTGAACTCATCCATAGACACAATGAACATAGGTATAGGCCATAGGTATAGCAAGAACCTCATTGTTGAAGAACGTTTCTTGTCCGACACTCCTGAACCTGAAGGCGCAGTTGCTTTATGAGCGAGCATTGGCTGGGCGAAAGGCCTTGTAGCTACGCCGATTACAATAGCCGTTGTTTTGGCTTTCAACTCTTACCACCTGGTCCACAATTTATTTGAACAAGCGCAGGCTTTGCACGGAGAGGACCATGTGGAGATCTACAGATGCTTGGAGATGGAACTTGCTGCAGGTGCTTGAAGACCACGGCTTGTTGTGGAGTACCAGCTGATGAACATCGTCAAACTGAAAGGTAGAACAAAGGAGAACAGGATCAATCCGCCGTACAGAGCGTATAGATGCTCTGCCAAGGAGTCAAGAACAACTACGCTTTGCTCCTCAAGGACCGGGGCGACAAAGCCCGATTTGACTACCAGAAGGCGCGAGTGATTTTCCTGCACAGACGCTCAAAGTTGCTCTTGAAGAGTCGCCCCGTGAGGCTGAGCAGCTTTATCGAGAGGCCAGGGCAGGTGCCACTTCAAAGCTTGGCCGGAACACCCAGTCTTATTTTCAGCACACGTGAACCGAGAGCAACATACCACCGAAAGACACGTGCATACCTCTTCCGAGCAAATATTTGGCTGCAGCTTTTGAGACCCTAATTGATGTCTCCCCCACACACCAGTGCAACTGAGGCCTAGATCACCCAGACACTCTCACGTTTGAACACAACCTTGCAGTGACTGAGCTTTGCAATAGGGGTGTTTTCGTGCAGGGTTTTGTGGAGTGCAGCCAAGCGGTGGTGGCAGATTGATCATTCACCACCGTTCCAGGACAGTCAGATCGGTTTTAGGGCTTTGACTCTGCATTGAGTGGGCCTTCTCCCCTGGTCCTCTCTTGCAAACGGTTGTGGCATGGTGTCGTTTCAGGGTTGAGGCTTGTTCCCGATGTTTGGGATGTGTGCGAGCCATAACTGGCAGAATCTGTTGTGGAATCCGAAATCCTGATTTGGCATGTGCATCTATGAAATCCAGACAGGCACAATTGGTGGACAATTCGCAACTTATATAAATAGATCCTTCTTTGCTAGCCAGCCCTTGCAGCCTTCCTAGGCCCTGCTTGGTCCATCTTCGGAGGAGGCTGAGGAACTCTACAGACATGTGGTCGCTGGACGTGACTTGTCGATATTTCGCCTTGCCAGGGCGAGGTCAGGTATTGAAGGTTGGATGTCGGTAAGCAATCAAGAAGGCAGAGCAGTTGATTTGAAGTTGGAAGTTCCAAACGTGCTCGGAAAACACGCATTGAGCAGCTCTTGAATCTCTCGTGCTTGATTGTACTTTGAGCTGTTGGAGTTCCGAGGAGAGAGGAGGCTTGGCAAAGAGCACCCAGACACGCTGCGCAGCATCAGCTGCTCGAATCAAGCAACACCTGCAACAGCCTTCGACTGGTGCTAGTTTCTGCTGACAGGGGCTGTAGAAGTACCGTATTTTTTGGGACAATTGAGGAGCTGAACTCCCACACGGGGCAGTGCTCAGCAGTGCTCCTGCTTCCCATCTCAGGCAACTTGGCCTGCCTTCTGGAGTTCAAGGGGGACACGCAGACCGCCCACACAATGCAGAACAGTGCTTACAAGGGACTGCAGAAGAGGCCCTGCATTTTTATCATGTTTATTTTACTTTCTCGGTGTGTTACTGTCAGAAGATGTTGCCAATGAAAGAAGTGCTTGATTGTATCCAAGCACTTTGGCACTGCAACCAGCAGACCCATCTACCAGGCTTGGTGAGGATCACGCTGAGACGCTGACCTGCATGAACAACTTGGTGACTTGGCCTGACACCGAAGGATTTGACGATACCCTGAGTGCCCGTCACACCTACCGGGCCAAGAGCCAGCACTGAAATTCAAAAGGCCGAAGCAAAGTCTGCACGTCAGGGCGTTTTCCTTCGCCCGAAGCCCCGGCAAGAACTCTATCTTCTTCTCTTCGCTTGCCGAAGCTCCGAATCTGAGGCGAGTCTCCTGCCCCTTGGTGCAAGGTGTTGTTGACGGAACCAATTTCTTTGGTACTGTTGACTGCTGTGAGTAGGCGTGTTCCAACAAGCATGTGCAAGATATTCTGGATCCACATCTCAAAACAACCAATTGCATCCAATTGCAAGTGCACGTGGGCTCAAATTTGAAAGACGAGGTTGTCAGGATTCTGGATGTATCGGGAAGGGAGTGTACAGCTCGAGCTTCTGAGGATAACCTTGCAGCAATTTGGTGAAGCCGAACGTTTATGTCGGCGGACCCTCAAGAAGCGGGAGGAAATCTTTGGCACTGATCACCGCGACACTTTAACATCAGTGTCTTGGTGTCACTGTCAGTCGACTGTGGGGATCATGAACCTTAGTTGCATCATGCACTTTTGCTTTGGTTCCAGGGAGAACCTACGAATGGCAACGGCTTGCTACACTATTTCCATAGTTCTGCATCTGTCCTCCCGCACCTGCCTGTTTGCATACATCAGCATTTTCATTTAGCAAAGAATCACGTAACTCCGTTCAAGCCCCCTGCTCCTTTAGGTCAACAACTTGGCATACCTGTTGAAGGCCAAGAAGATGCTTCCAAGTCGCATTTGCTATTCTTCCACATTCTTGCAAGTCATCCCACGAGAGCTATGAGTGTTCAGACAAGATGGACACATTTATTCTGGAAGTTTCCGGATTCCTTGTACAGAGCATTTGGCTCAGGTTTGCAGACGCTGAATACTACTATCGCCGGGCACTGGATGGCTTCACGAGAGTATTAGGTCCTGATCATCAAGCTTCTTGGCAAAAAACTGGCTGTCAAGAAGAAAGAAAGAAGGAAGGAAGGAAGGAAAGCAAGAAAGAAAGAAAGAAGGACAGAAAGGGAAGAAGGACGGCAGGAGAGAAATACACAAACAAAAAAGTAAGTAAAAGGGCTGGAAGGAAGGAAAGACAGACAGAAAGACAGGAAGACAGAAAGACCGAACCGAAAGACATCAAGAAAAGGAGACGGAAAGATAAGTAGAAAGGAAGACAACAGGTAGAATAAAAAGGAAAGGCAGAAAGGCAGAAAGAAAGGTTAAAGGGTATTGGATTGTCAGTCGTATTCACCATGTGGCAAGGACACGCTGCACACGGTCTATAGCTTGGCCACTTTGCTGGAGGCGCTGTGAGGGGTGGGTGTAAGATATGCTTATGCTGAAGCTAATGGTATGGTATGTAATGCAATGTAATAATGCAATGTATGTCATGTATGTATGGGATATGCTTATGCTGCGGATGTTCCGTTCTGCTTCTATGCCTGTTGCCGGGAAGTTTGACATGGCAAACATTTGGAATGGGCACTATATAGCTCCTGGTGTGGCACAATGAAAGTGCTCGTCGTGGCCTGAGGCTCCCCCGCTTACCTACACGCTGAGACTTCCAAAGAGAGGAGCAAAACAAGGGGGCACTTACCTTGCTCTTTTGTACCGGTAACCGATCCTACATGTCACAGTTTCTCACTTCTTACCTCCAGCAGAGGAAGGGCTGTGAGGCCTTTTCAGGCTCGATTGCAAGTTGGTGTGTGGGACCGGGACCGGTACCTCTTTTTCTCCTCATCCCTGTGGAAGATATTCACTGACCTTATCGTTTCTTCCGAGTGCAATCGCAGGCCATGGGCCGCTTCAGTGAGGCAGAGCCCATGACCCGGCAGGCGCTGGAAGGATTCAGGCGGGAGTGTGACATACCGATCCACTCGCCACTCCCGCAAAAAGCCAAAAGGTGTCGAAACACTTCTAGGAGGGATGTACAATGCTGTGGCATGGAGTGTCAGCAGGGAATAGCAATTCCCTCATATTCCCTCCATAGCAAGTAAAGAACCGGGAGCGGCAGAGTCAAGCACACAGCCTACAGACAAACAATGCACATGTTGAGTTGCACTAATCACTAATAAGACATGTGCACATATGATCATATATATGTGCATTCTGCACACACACACACATATATATACATAGTTATTCCGGCATGGGCGGTTCAGCTGAGTCATGAATCCACAGGAGTAAATTGGGAGCGGATCATCCGGATACGCTGCGGAGTGTTCTGCATTTTGCAGCGATGTTGCAGGCAGGGAAGTGCATAAATTATGGATTGTGAAGCTCTTCAAATAGTCACAGCACCCAAGTCAAAACTTCAGAATGTAGTCTCAACGCTAGAACCTTTTGAGGTCGTGTGACGTAGTTTTGTGACACTTGTGATTGGACACCTCAATTGCCCAAGGCGAAGAAGCGGTTCCAGGAAGCGGAAGATCTTTGCCAAGAGGTGCATGACCGATTCCAACAGGCGAGATGGAGAGTTCAAGTTGAGAAGACGGCACAGTATTTGATCATCTTGCACGAGTATTCAGTAATCAGCTTTTGCAGCTTCTTGAACGACCCTGCAGTAGAGCCTGACTCGCTGTTTTAGTTGAATATATGCTCGAGACCGGCAGGAATTTGGCTTGGACCACCCAGACACCATGACAGCGGAGGAATACTTGGCTCCTTGGTTCCATTTGCCCACAGAGAATGACAAAAGCCTTGATCTTTTGAAAAGGAATGTTGGGTGGCTAGATTCGGAGATCCGAGGTGTGCAGTGTGTAGTGTGTATTTTTGTTCTGTCTTGCACGCTCGAATGGGCACTTGATATTCCCCCAAACAGTTTACTGTTAGGGGTTCTCAATTCTTTCTCAAGATGTGTCCGCCCTTTGTGTCACTGCTGGGGTCCGCCATTTTTCCCTTGGCAATGTAGCATTTCTATTCATTGTCTCCCAGGTCTGTCACTGCTGGTGTCTGCCCTGTTCCGCTGGC